TACCTGTCTCTGGATATTTAAATACTTAATATTTAAATCCCATTGGAGGCAATACAAAGGACGTCTTTATAAAAGATAAAAGGAACATTGGATGATAGCATGAATATGTGAGCCTTTCAAGCTAATCCAGAGAAGAAACAAACACCATAATAAGACAAGGTTTCTCAACCTTGGCAATTTTAAGAGCCGTGGACTTCAACTCTCAGAATCCCCCCAGCTGGCCATTACAGGTGGCCCTTTGTTTAGTGACCATTCAATGTTACAGCAGCACTGAAAAAGTGACTTACAACCGTTTTTCACACGATGGTTGCAGCATCCCCGTGGTCACGTGACCGAAATTCAGACTCTTGGCAATTGACTCATATTTATGACGGTGGTAGCGGCCCCGGGGGGGGGGTGTCACGTGATCTCCTTGTGCGACCTTCTGACCAGAAAAATCAACAGGGGAAGCCAAATTCACTTTACAACCGTGTTACTAATTTAAAAACTGCAGTGATTCACTTAACAACTGTGGCAAGAAAGGTCATAGAATGGGGGAAAATTCGCTTAACAACTGTTCCGTTTAGCAACGGAAATTTGGGACAAAATTGTGCTTTGAAGTCGATCCCTTCCCTCTGTTTTCACTGTTTAACAGAAAGCTCTTGTTGGGGCTTTCTTTTCATTTTTGCCTTGTTGCCTCTCTTCCTTTCAATCTGCTGGCAGTAGCATAGGTGGGGAAGAGTCCCCTGGGCCTTCTTCTATTATGGAGAAGGAAAACATGCCATATTTTATTTTTATTTTTAATTTATTTTCACCAATTTACAAGGCTCTCCATCTCGCAACATACGAACGCTGGGTGGCTAGCGAGGCTCAGCGCTCAAGACAACCAACCGCCCAAACACAATAGCAATGAATAGATATGTCTAATATTCCAATGTCCGTGAACTTGTAACTTTTCATCCGTTTTTCCAGCAATACAGTCATTATCATCCAGGAAGAAACTGAAGAGTGTTGATGAAAGCTAACCTTGAGTTTGTTTGGATCTTTATGGCAATACGATCACTAATACATTTACAGTGTGTGTGTGTGTGGGGGGGGAAAAATCCACTAGGCTTATTAGAAGTTGCTTCTTTTAAAGAATGAACCCCCTTCCCTGTCACCCCTCCCCAGATAAAAACCCCAGACTCCGGCTGCAATTTCCAGAGCCGCTAACTAACCAAGCGTTAGCAGCTACAGGATTTGCCATGACAGATCTAAGCCGTGATCCATCATAGTGTCTCGCTGCGGTAGTTTTCACATTTAGTAAAGCCGTGTAGTGCAACATCCAATCAATTTTTCTTCCAGAGTAGAAGCTTAGAAAACAGGAAGAATGGGTGCTTGGTAAAAAAAATAGCTCAGGCAAGTTAGTTAAACTTTTAACACCTTTTGGGGTACCGGTTGCTTTTTTTGTATATCCACTGATGAGGGTCCCATCCAGAGGAATTGCACACCATCAGGATGATAGCGGGATTATAGTTTTTAAGAGTATTAGCAGGTTTTAATTGTTTCTATAATCATTTTTTTATATCATTTGTAAGCTACCCAGAGTAAATTTTTGGCATATAAATTTAATATAAATGAATGAATGAATGAATAAATGCTAATTTATTTAGTAGATTTGTATGCCACTGATGTTACATCTGGGCTGCTCACCATATTCAAAATAATTCTTAAAATATATATTTTTTTAAAAAAAATAGAAGAGCATAAAGAAAACTCCTTATCCAGAGCTTGGATTGGGTTGCTTTTTTTGTCTTGTGTTCCTCCAGTTAAAAATTCTCTGTTGGCTTATTTTCACCAAAGCTGTCTTTTTTAAAAAATAAACTGCCTGGTTAAAAATACCAGGATATGATATATATTTCAGCAACTATGGTAAAAAAATTTTTTTTAAAAAAATCAAGCGCAACTAAAAAAAAAAGAGAGAGTGAGAAAAAAAATGACAATTTAATCAATCAACCTCTATTCCTGCAGGGGGGAAAATACTTAAAATAACCTATAAACTTTAGAAGGTTCCATCACTCTGAAATAAGCCTGCAGCACCAATGTTTATTAAAGTGACAAGCGCAGTGTATTCACTGCAGAAACTGCAAAGCCGGTGGGTTGAATTTTGGATTGTCCTCAGTCTTAAGGTCAAAAAACCAGCAACAACAATCTACTTGTTTCCCAGCTTAGAATCCCCCAGAAATATGGCTAGGAATTAAAATAGTCTCCGACTGAAACAGATTGTGATTTTTTTTTCCCCTTTGCATATTGCTTGGGATTATTACTTGCACAATATCCTTGAATGGCTTGAACACTTCCAGATTGGCTGAAACAAAACTGAAAGAAAGAAGGGGAATTTAGACTCTTAAATTGGAAAAGGAGGGAGAACAAGGAGGAGGAAGCAAAGAACAAAAGAAATCTAATGAAAACAATCTATCCACGCAGGGGTCATTCCTTCATCTATAGCAGGGGTAGTCAACCTTGGCTCTTTTATGACTCGTGGACTTCAACTCCCAGAATTCCTGAGCCAGCTATGCTGGCTCAGGAATTCTGGGAGTTGAAGTCCACGAGTCATAAAAGAGCCAAGGTTGACTACCCCTGATCTACAGGATGAGGACTGTGCTTTTTATCATGCCCAACTCTGGGCAACTAACAATAAAAGAAACAATAATGATCAAATCCCTAAATTCAAGTAAACGTAAGCCCAAAACTAATGTTATCACAATGTGGTTGAGATCCTCAAAAATACTAACATCCTACAAATGTATCGCCAGCCTGTCAGCCTTCAGAGATAGACTACTTTATTGTAAAGCTGCATTTACTAAATATTTTAAGTCTGAAAGTACACAGCTCCTGCTGCCTCTTTTACAGCCTGAGAAGTCCTCCTGAATTTCCTTCTCTGCCTGTGATGCAGCCGAGGGCTATGCTGTCTCTTATCTGATTGATCCTTAGGTACCATCACTTCTTCCTGCCTCCCAAGGCCGTTCCACACACCGTTACGTCGCCTCATCCCAGCCCAATACCCGAAGAAATATCCACGATTTTAAACCTTTTTGAAACAGAGTTGGGGCCATTTAAATCTTGGGGTGAAAGGTGTTCTACAGGACACCATCGTTTTTCATCCCCATGCTTTGAGACAGAAGAAAAATTAAGCATGGTCAATTTGGAAACCACAATTCATACTGACTGGGAAAGGCTTCAGGATAACATCTGGTGCATCTGGAATTTTGCAGTGGCTCTTTCCCCCCATAATTACCTGCCTTCCCCATCTGGAGATGAAGCATTACGGATGTACACTTTTATGGTCTAATGCGTGAAGCATTCATTTATTCCAAAGTATCCATCTCCTGGTCCATCTTTAGTAGATTAGTAGTCCCATCCAACTAATCTCTTTAGAAATGCAGATTCTGCTGAATCGTGAAGTCTAGTTTTTGGACCTAGCAGATGTATTAGATGAGTCTTCCAAAATCCTTGGCTAAGATAATTGGCCTGTAACTTGAGACTTAATTGCTACATTCAGCTTGTGCATAGGCAATATTATTTTTCTGGATCTGTATGACAGTTAGTTAGTTAGCTGCCTAACTTCCTCTTAGAGCACTTAGCCTGAACTAATTAAATGCTTATTTATTATTCACAGCATCCTTTCCCAATCAGATATTCTTCAGAGTTTTGTAATTATTTGTTAGTAATGTGTTGCTAATTATTATCACTAAATAGTCTGCAATCAAAGTCATATGCCTAGACCATAGACATACTGTATGCCTAATCTCAAGTGGAAAGAGAATTTTGGTGGGGTGGGGGGTTAGGGCTTGGAAGGAGGCTATTTTAAGGATAATTTAATAATCCATCCTTCTAGTCCAGGCATAGCTGAAGTTTCTATGAACTTTGAAACATTACGGAACGTTTGTTATTTGTTGAATCAAAAACATACCCTGCCTTAGTGTTTCTTTTCTGGTTATTTCATGTTGATTTCTATCATGTCTTTCATAAATCAGCAGTGGAATAAAGATGAAAATTCTCCAGAGATAAAGAGGAAGCTTTAGGATGTCTGTTATGAAATGCATAATCAAGCACTTGGCAATTATACAAGCTGTTAAAAAAATTCGTTTTTTACTGTTTAATAATATTCATCCCATTGGAACGTTCCCACACTGTAGGCATGACTCCAATAAGAGGAAAAAAGTGCTTCCATGGGATTAGTTTGTGCATTACTACAGATAGTCCTCAAATTATAACCACAACTGAGACCAAACTTTATGTTGCTGGGTAAGAAGTTTGTCCAGTGAGTTTTGCCCTGTTTTACCACTTTTCTTGCCCCCGTTGTTAAGCGAATCACTGCAGCTGTTAAATTAGTAACACAGTTGTTGAGTGAATTTGGTTTCCCCGATGACTTTGTCAGAAGATCGCAAAAGGGGATCACATGGCCCCGGGACACTGCGACCGTCATAAATGTGTCAGTTATCAACCATCCGAATGTCAATCACGTGATCATGGGGATGCTGCAACAGTCGTGTGAAAAATAGTCATGTCACTTTTTTCAGTGCCGTTGTAACTTTGGTCACTAAGCAATCTTCATTAAGTCGAGCATTACCTGTGTTATCTATGGCAGCTCCATATAGATCCTCCATACGTGACAGCAGTCTATCTGCAGATGCCAAATGGCTGGGACATACAGAAGGAAGATCAGGCACGTGTCATCGGGTATGGGTTTTTTTTGAGAGGAGAATATTGGGGGTTTTTTCCATTTTTTTTCCATCTGACATTTATGATGTTCTGTGTACAGACGAGAAAGGACATGAATTGAACATCACTTGGACATAGTGAGTGTGCTCCATACCTGCCAGTTCTGGCTCTCCTTCTTGCAAACTTTTTTTTTTTTTTGAACCTTCCCAGGAACATTTTTCAATTCCTCACTTTGCATTTATCAAGCTTTTAAAAACAGTCTCGTTCACACTTGGAAGGCAAGGAAAAGAAAGAAAGGGCATGAGCCAGGTGGAAGGCATCACCGAGGTCTACTGAGCATGCGTCGGCCATCGCGCATGCTCAATCACTACCAACGCCACAAGGTGGCGATTTCACGACGAGGGGCCGTTGCCCGGTGAGTGACAAAAACCGTAAACGGCGCTGCGCTTTGGGGGGATTCCGGCTCGGCGTCGTCATGGCTCGGGACGTGAAGAGCAAACTATCCAAGAATCTTCTCCGCATGAAGGTAAGAGACGTCTGAACGGACTCGCTGGGCGAGCTGAGGCGAAAGCCTTCGGAAAGGGGAGGGGCTACCCGCGACTCTTTCCGAACCGTTTCCGGCGGCGGGCGAAGACAACCCGATTGGCTTCGGCTCGCGACGAACGAGGGAAGAGCCGCCAATTGAAGCCGGGAGGCGTGGCGCCGAATGCGACCGAAGGGCTTCGGAAGTGGGCGGGAGGAAAGCTGAGGAGCCTCGTAAACAATTCGAACGGAGCCGAGGCGCTTCCGGCTGAGCGCGTGGCGAAGTCCTTCGCCCTCTGCGCATGCCCAGACCTAGAAATGCTGCTTTTGAATCTTTGAAGGAATTGAATTGGATTCTCGGCAAAATTGCTTGTAGGAAAAGAAAGTTTCCACCTGAATACCAGCCCAGCTTCTTTTGGGCTTCTGCTTACCTGGATTTCTTAAGGGTGCAAGGAAAACACTCTGTGCATGCTTTGAAGTCTGCAGTACTCTCAAGAAGGGGAATGCATGTGCTTAAGCTTGCTTGCTTAACATTTTATTTTTTTTACATCCTCAAGTGAATGCAATGGGGGGGATGCATCACTTTAAAACAGCATTTCTCAACCTTGGGCTCTTTACAATGCGTGGACTTCAACTCCCAGAATTCTCCAGTCAGCCTGGGGAATCCTGGGAGTCAAAGTCCACATCTTAAAAGTCTCCAAAACTGGTTTAAGCATTGCAGATTGCTTTTTTAAAAAGTTCATAGTCCTTCCGAAGGGTTTTACTTTGCAAGTCGTATTTTCCCCGAAGTAGTTGGAGACTTTGCTAAATTGGGTCTAGGCTAAATTTTTGCTGGGAAAAAAACCTTCTATTTCTCTGCCTTTGGAAGTCTCTTTCACGCTTTCTGCTTTTTTCCATTTGCTACTTACTTATTTGTTTACGTAGTACATGCATGCGGGCTCTGCAATTTGCAAGAACGACTCTTGGCGACTTCCAGTTCAAAAAAGCATGAAATTACATAGCCAGGCCAGCGAAGAGACTAAAACTGTTTGAAAAAGAATTAAAATGATGCACACAGAGATGAGCAATAATCACAGAGGTCCAAGATGCAGTTTAAAAATATTTAAGTAGAAATTAGGAGTTTGGGGGTGGGTGGGTACTACAATGCTTTTTCCATTTTTTTCACTTTCTTGTTTGTCTTACCTCTAATTTATTTTATATTTGCACTTTCTGTTTTTGATTTTTGTTTGTATACCTAATAAAAAAGAAAAGCATGAAAATGAAGAATTTAAAATGCAAGACAATTTAAATAACACAGTAAAACTTTCTAGTCGTTAAGGCACCAGGCTGAAAACCAGGAGACAGTGAGTTCTAATCCTGCCAAACACTGTCTCTCAGCCCAACCCACCTCACAGGGCTGTTATTGTGGAGAAAATAGGAGGAGGAAAGTGTATTGGGATATGTTTGCCACCTTATTGGTAAAAATAATAAAGGTGGGATACAAATAAATAGGACAATGCAATAGGTGAAATAGCAATACTTGACGTAACCAGGACTAACCAGCATAAATATTCAGATATTTTAAACTATACATGGGTTCTTCCCATGATCTGGCCCCATTCTCCAGGGAACAGCCTGCCCTTATGGAAGAGCAGGAGAATCAGGACCATCCAAACCTGCCATAGAAGAGAATCTCTGTAGCTCAGGGTTGAACTCCAGGATCAATCAATCAGAATAGAGCTGGGAGGGACCTTGGAGGTCTTCTAGTCCAACCCCCTGCTCAAGCAGGAGACCCCGTACCAGGGGTAGGCAACCTTGGCTCTTTAATGACTCGTGGACTTCAACTCCCAGAATTCCTGAGCCAGCCATGCTGAGGGGAAAGGGAGAGGTTGCCATGCTGAGCCATGCTGGCTCAGGAATTCTGGGAGTTGAAGTCCACGAGTCATAAAAGAGCCAGGTTTGCCTACCCCTGCCCCATACCATTTTAGACAAGTGACTGTCCAGTCTCTTCTTAAAAACCTCCAGTGATGAAGCACTTACAGCTTCTGGTGGCAAGCTGTTCCACTGGTTAATTGTCCTCACTGTTAGGAAGTTTCTCCTTAATTCCAGGTTGCTGCTTCATTGGTTGTTTCGTTGCAGATGTTTCATGACCCAGCTAGGTAACAATATCAGCGCTAGAAGAGAACAGAAATTGCTCTGCACGTTACCTCCTTGGGTCATGAAGTGGCTGCATGAAAACCACCAGCCTCAGAAAGGGAGCACCAAGACCCCACAAACCTGCACTTTTTCTTAGTTTGTTGGTGATCTGCAAACGAGGTCATCCTTAGGTTGGTCTGAGTTTTGCATTGGCTGCTAAGGACCAGATCTTGCTCCATGGCAAACACAGGTAGTGCTCTGACAGAGCATGCACAGTCTTATTGTGCTGAAATAACTCAGGAGTAAACACAGTAAACAGTGACCTATATTAAATCTTACACTATCTACAATATCATACACCAGGAATAATTTACATGCACGTGTTAATATAGCAGTCTCCAACATACAGCAGTTACAGCAGGAAACAGAAGGAAACACAGCAGGAAACACAGGAAACAGCAGGAAACACAGCAGCAGAGCCTTCTCTTTGATGCAAAGCTCTTAAAGGGACACAGACCCAGCTGGCTCTTAAAGGGACACAGACCCTGCGAAGTCATTACATCATATATCTCACATCAGCTGGTTAGTTTCTAAATCATTAGCTTGACATCCTCAACTTACGACCACAATTGAGCCCCAAATTTATGTTGCTAACTGAGAAATTTATGTTGCTAAGTGAGTTTTACGATTTTACGATTTCCTTGCCACAGTTGTTAAGTGAATCCCTGCAATCATTAAATTAGTCACACGTTTGTTAAGCGAACCCGGCTTCCGTCATTGACTTGGCTTGTCAGAAGGTCGCAGAAGGGGATCATGTGACCCCCGGGATGCTGGGACCATCCTAAATAGGAGTCAGTTGTCCAGCCTCCGAATGTAAATCACCTGACCATGGGGATGCTGCAATGGTCGTAAGTGTGAACAATGTCATAAGTCACTTTTTTCAGTGCCGTTGTAACTTTGAATGATCACTAAGCGAACTGTTGTAAATCAAGCACGATCTGTCTACCTTCCCTTTTTCTCCAACTTACCAATACAGCCTTGTTGCTTTTGAGGGGGCCAGGGAGTGGGGTGTGTTAATAAAAACCCCAAGTTGGCAGTTGTCCTTGGATGTGTGAATCCGATGTTGAATTCAGAGCCGAAATAATCTCAGTTCAACTCCTGATAAACTCCAATTTTCTAAGGAACACATCATTCAGTCGAAGATTGATTGATGATGGCTCCGTTGGGTTCTTCCTTTCCTTCATCTTTCCTTCCTTCCCCCCTCCCTCCCTCCCTCCTTCCCTTCTTTCCTCCCTCCCTCCCTTTCTTCTTTCTTTTCTATCTTCCTTCTTTCCTCCCTCCCTTCCTCTCTTCTTTCTTTTCTATCTTCCTTCTTTCCTTCCTTCATCCTTCTTTCTTCCCTTCCTCCCTCCCATCCTTTCTTTTCTATCTTCTTTCCTCCCTCCCTCCCTCCCTCCCTCCCTTCCTTCCTTCCTTCCTTGATAGACTGGCATTCGTAAGTTGAGCGTCTTCTGGTTGTTATTGAAATAGTCTGCAATGTCTGTGCAAGATCTGGATCCCTATCTCCTTCCAAAGTTACAGACCAGAGATCAAAAAATAATTGGCAGACCGACTGACTTTTTGGTCTTAGAAAAGCAATCCTTTCTTTCTTTCTTTCTTTCTTTCTTTCTTTCTTTCTTTCTTTCTTTCTTTCTTTCTTTCTTTCTTTCTCATCTGAGCCGGATTGCCATTAATTTTTAAAAACATAAATATTCATCAAATATTTATAGCTCAATATTGCCAGCCCTTCATGGTTTGTTTGCTTCAAGTTGATGTGGATGCCATTACTTTTCATCTTCATCTTTCATCTTTGAGACTGCCATTAAGTTGTAGGCTTTTTTTTTTTAATTTTATTTTTGAAAGGAAAAACAAAAACAAAAAACAAAGGCCGAGCAGGATCTAAGAAAAAACACACAAAAATAAACCCCACCATTTATTTATTTCGCTCTCCCTTCTCAAGTCCCTCAAGTGATTAGTTACCTGGCGGAGACATTTGCCGGTAGATCTGACTGGTGATTTAAAATGGGTTGTCTGTAAATGATCCACAAAAGGTTGGGAGGATTTTCTCCTGCGGCTTGAGCATGCACAAAGGGATTTTATTCAGGATTGCAACCCTAATAATCCCTTTCCCATAGAAGTGAATTTCCTTCTGTCGGATCGATGGGTCTTCTGGATAGCTGAGATCAGTGAGTCACTCCAGGCTCAGCTGTAGAAACAGAAAACTGATGGCAGAAAAAAGACCTGGGACAGGCAGTCCTCTACTTAACAACAATTCATTTAGTGACCGTTTAGAGTTACACTGAAAAAAGGGACTTTTGTTCACACTTATGACCATTGCAGCATCCCTGTGGTCACGCGATCAAAATTCGGATGCTTGGCAACTGCTTCACATTTATGACAGTTGCAAAGTCCCGGGGTCGTGTGATCCCTCCTGGCTAGTAAGGTCAATGGGGGAGCCAGGTTCACTTAACAGTTGTGTTACTAACCTCCCGACTGCAGAGATTCACAACAACTGAGGCATGAAAGCTTGTAAAACGGGGCAAAATTCACTTAACAGCCGATTTCTATAGCTCTGCCCGATGTACGGGGCCTTGGTTCATATGTTCTTCTCTCAGGCCCAGGGATGGCTGTGTTTAAATGCATCGTGGAACGTCCCTTGGAGACTAGCAGTTCCTTCTAATGTTCTTCCTGTGCGACACATTTTCAGATTTTGCTTGGACATAGCCAAGTTTCGCTATTTCAGTCCTGGCTGGTGGGACTTCGGCACGAACAAGGCGTATGTCAAGGAACAAAACCCTTGAAGAAAGGGAATTTTTACAGTTGGCTGTGACTGTGTGTGCGCCTATGTGTAAATCTGCAAGCGGGTTTTGCAAGGAGAGCTGAGACTTGGTTGCAAAATCTTTGAGGACCGAAGAGTGATATAGTTTCTAAGTCATGACCACCATCTAGAACAGTGATGGCGAACCTTTTAGAGACCGAGTGCTCAAACCGCAACCCAAAACCCACTTATTTATTGCAAAGTGCCAGGGCCACATCAGCAGTGTGGTGCCCTTGGGGGGGGCAGGGAGGCATCTCTGAGTGCCGCCTCTGGCACGCAAAACCCGGGGGCACAAAAATGGGACACAGTGCTGCAAGGCGCAAAAACGGCTACCGCCGCGACGTGGGGTACAGATACAAGGCGCTGCACCACGTAAGAACGGGGTTGGGCTAGTGAGTATCATGCAGGCACTAGCCCCACCTCATTTGCAGCGCGTGCGTGCTCACAGCCCCCTGCATGCATGCACGCATGTAAAATGCTTCCCCCTCCCTTTTCTTCCAGTCCACCAATCAACAATGGTTGGTGACCTCTGCTCTACCACCTCTACTCAAACTTGCTAGTTGGCCGCTTTGCCTCCTTTGTGCTGGGTGGGGCTCCTTCTCCGGGCGGCGGGGGCAGCCTGATAGACCTGCTGCTGATGGCGGTGGCACGTGTGCCAACAGAGAGGGCTCTGAGTGCCGCCTCTGGCACGCGTGCCATAGGTTCGCCACCACTGATCTAGAAGCCCTGCCTTTCTGTCTTCAACCATCCCAGTCCTTCGTTCATTTTTATTTTCTCTGGATTCCACTACAATCCAGCATGAGTTAAGCTACATTTACTTTTTTAACTTCAGTTTGTTCGACTGAGATTGCTTTTGCTTGAAAAATATGCCATCGCCCATTCTGGATAAATTTGCCTGCTAGGAGACATTAAATACTGACTTTTTCAGGCATGGGGAAAGCACATTCACAAAAATGTATGTACAGGTAGTCTTTACGTTCCCAGAAGTGGTTCAAGACCAATCCTTGAGTTTCAGAGGGAAGGGGGAGGGAGGGGAGAAGAAGGAAGGAAGGAAGGAAGGAAGGAAGGAAGGAAGGAAGGAAGGAAGGAGATAGATAGGAATGAGAAGGAAGGAAGGGAAGGAAAGGAGGAAGAAGGAAGGAGAGAGATGGGAATGAGAAGGAAGAAAGAAAACGAAAGGAGGAAGAAGGGAGGGAAGGAAGGAAGAAGAGATGGAAATGAGAAGGAACGAAGGAAGGAGATGGGAATGAGACGAAAGGAAAGAAAGGAAGAAGAGAGGAGGAAGACGGGAGGGAAGGAAGGAAGGAAGGAAGGAGAGATGGAAATGAGAAGGAGCGAAGGAAGGAGATGGGAGTGAGACAAAAGGAAAGAAAGAAGGAAAGAAAGGAAGAAAAGGAGAGGAGAGGAGAGCTATAATGGAATGGAACAGAACCGGAATGGAACTGAAATGGGAATGGAATGGAATTCTTTATTGGCCAAGTGTGATCAGACACACAGGGAATTTGTCTCCGGTGCATAAACTCGGAATGTATGTATAAACAGCAAGTAATAGGCCATAAGTAGGTCATAAATCATAGTTGCAGTCATGAGTCGTACGTTACAACCAACCATTGATGAAATCTTCAGAAATTTGCGAGGGCAGCAGGAGTGCCTGTCTGTTTTTCACTCCCGCCGGTATGCAAATGATATGCAAATGAGCAGCCGCCCCCTGCCCCCCCCCCGTGCTGTCTTCCTCCTCCCGGTGCTGCTTTCTCGCCCACGGCTCCCTTCCCTGCAAACGGCACCTTGTGTCAAAAGCAGAGGCAGCGGGCGCTGGGCTGGGGTTGCAGCACACCTGGATGGGAGCCTTTTACCCAGGCAGTCTTTCCTTTTTCCACAGCTTGACAGGCAGTCTCTTCCCTGCCCCAGATTAAGCTCCCTCCTGGAAGCGCAAACAAATCATCATTATTCTTTTTTTTCTCTCTCTCTCTCTCTCTCTCTCTCTTAATCCTTTGCCTCGCAGCTGTTCAAATCAGGAGCTACATATTTTTATCGCAAGGGTTTTTGCGTGCTTAATCTTCTTCAGGTGATTATAGCAACTGTTAACGGGATATATATTTTTTTTTTTTTTTTTGCGGGGGAAAAACAACATTCGCCGAGAATTTTAATTGAACGTGGTAGAAAGTCCTTGCCTTCGTTTGGCATCCTTTTTTTTCTTCCCCTTTTCCCTTTTTATTTTCACTTCTCCAAATAAGGGCCAGATTTCTTTAGGAAGAAAAAAAGAAGAAGAAGGTTACATGGCAGTTTTAGTATGCCATTCTTGTCCTTCGTTGTGTGTCACCTTTCTCTTCTAGGGATTCATCGTGTCCGTGAGCCATAACAATGCAGGTAGTAAGTCCTCGACAGCCATCCATTGGGAACCAGAATTTCTGTGGCTAAGCAAGGCAGCTTTTTAAAGGGAATTTTGCCTGATTTTATCATTTTAGTTGTTAGGGGAAAGTTGTTAAGTGACTTACACGGTTGTTAAGCGAAGCTGGCTTCCCTCGTTGGCTGTGCTTGTCGGAAGCCAGCTGGGGAAGTTCGCAAATGGCGATCAGGCGACCCTGGGACGCTGCAACCATCGTGAATACATCCCCGTTGCCCAATGGCTGAATTTGGCTCAGGTGACTTTGGGGATGCTGCAACGGGTGTAAGTTGGAAGAGTGATCACAAGCCACTTTTTTCACTGCCGGGATAACAGTCGCAAAACGAATGGTTGTAAGTCCGTGTGTGTGTATGTGTGTGTGTACCTGTAAACTCCCACAAAGTCGCTTGATGGTAAGATGGGCAGCGTAGGAATTCTCTGAATAAATTTTGAAAAACCTTTGCGTCTTGTCTTTCAGTTCATGCAAAGGGGCTTGGATTCAGAAACCAAAAAGCAACTTGAGGAAGAGGAGAAGAAAATAATCAGCGAAGAACATTGGTTTCTGGATCGACCAGAACTGAAAGAAAAAGAGTACGTTTGCTGCTGCCTGTCGGTCTTTGCATCTGTGGGAGGAGATGGGAAGATAAAAAGCAGAAGAAACAGAATAATAGCATTGGGCGGGACCTTGAAGGTCTTCCAGTCCAGCCCCCTGCTCAAGCGGGTGACCCTTTACTATTCCAAACAAACGACTGTCCATTTTCTTCCTAAAAATCTCTGGTGATGGAACACTCACAACTTCAAAACAAAACCAAAAACAAGAATTGCCTTCTGCAGTTGGAGATCAGTCTGGAACTTTTTTTGGTTTCCTGTCAAGTGGTTGGCTAAGCTCAACTTGCTTGTTCGATCCCCTTTTTAAAACAATGATTTCTTCACAGGAGACTCATCAGAGAGGAAAGAAGCTTCGTGATGTGTGAAGATCTTCTGTATGGCAGAATGTCCTTCAAAGGGTTCAATCCTGAAGTCGAGGTATTTATTTTTTTTGGGGGGGGGGGCTTATAGCATTCGTTCATCCTCTTGGGATCTGGCTTGCAAAGGCGGTTCAAGATCAATGAAGTCCCTGATTCAGTTTGTACCATATTGAAATAACTGAATGGAGGGTTGGATGGTTGATAGATACATTCACACATACAATGGATGGGTGGATGGGTGAATGGATGATAGATACATACATTGGAGAGAGGGATAGATAGATGTGATGGATAAATTGGATGAATGGATGGGTAGATAGATAGATGGATGGATGGATGATAGATACATTCACACATACAATGGATGGATGGATGGGTGAATGGATGATAGATACATACATTGGAGAGAGGGATAGATAGATGTGATGGATAAATTGGATGAATGGATGGGTAGATGGATGGATGGATGATAGATACATTCACACATACAATGGATGGGTGAATCGATGATAGATACATACATTGGAGGGAGGGATAGATACATATGATGGATGGATGGATAGATTGGATAGGTGGGTGGATGGATGGATGGATGTAATTTTTGGTTTTGATGAATTCACTAGCTATAAAATCAGAGAAGACTCATGAGTAGTTCAGAAGCACCTTCTCCAGACCAGCTGCATTCACACAACACACTTAACCTGGTTCCTGAATTAACCATTTTCTGAGTTTGGGCTCCGTATGAAAAACCTGTAGAACTATTCTTTGATCTGTTCAGAATTTAACCGGAGAGCTGAATTACAGCAATATCTCTGGATAGTGACTGTTAGTGTCTTACATACACTCTTGCCATTGATTGACTGGTTAGCAAATAGAATGTGATAAGAAGCTTTAATCTCTGCTTCATCTGTGGGGGGGGGGGATCGTGAGAGTTGTTTTCATCTTGGTCTATCAAGATTAACATATTTTTACTGACACCATAAATATTATTTTTGTGGCATTCTTATTGGGATATAAGCGTCTGTGGACTGGAGGGCCTTCGTGGGCGATAAGTCACAAAGAAAGATGCTGCAATTGAGCAGTTAGCCATAATAATATTCTCTGAGGGTCAGTGTCATATCAAACTTGGCCCTTCAGCTGGAAAGAAAATATTGAGGTGCTTAATGTCTGCATTGCTTCTCTATTCATCTCCCTCATTCTTGCCAAATCGGTCTCCTTGACTTTTTTTTCTTTCTTTCGAGGAGTGTAACACCTAAAGTGATATTCCAGTTTTTCATTTCCAGAAGTTAATGGTCCAGATGAACTCGAGGTACAAGACAGAAGATCCCGCAGAGGAAAAGAATGCAAAGGAAGCTGATGTATCGGATGAGGAAATGGCTAGAAGGTACTTCTTCTCCATTACAACACAAATAACGTTGTCGAGATGTGTTTTTCAGACTTCTCCCTCCCCCCCCCTCCAGTCTAAAATGAAAGTTCTCCCCAACGACCAGGCGTTTGATGTTCAAAACACTTGTTTTGCAAGAGAGTGTTTTATAACGGAAAGAAGCTTTTGACCTGATGAGTTCTTAAAAAAAAAAAAGCAAATAAAAATGCTTTACTTGCTTTCTCCAGGCTACCTCAGTCAGACATCAGCCCCAGTACTTAACTGACTTTCTTCCTTTTTATTGGGTTTACAGCCAACGAAAACATTAGAGGAAATGTTTATAGGCGTTCCTAGAGAAATCATTTCAAAATTCTTTTTAACGCATTTGGCTCTGGGGGAGTGCAAAACAGGATGCTGCAGCCAGAGGTGGGAAGAAGGATTTTAAATGAAAAGCTGAGTATCTTCAGTGGAAAATAGAGAGCCAGCTTGTTGTAATGGTTAAGGTGTTTGGTCTAACTGGGAGACTGTGAGTTCTAGTCTTACCCTAGGCATGAAAACCAGCTGGGTGACTCTGGGCCAATCACCCAGGAGACAGTGAGTTCTTGTCCTGCCTTAGGCATGAAAGCCAGCTGGGTGATTTTGGTCCAGCTCCTTCTCTCTCAGCCCAACCTACCTCACAGGGTTGTGGTGAGCCCTCGTTTGAAAAATGTTTGCAGAAATTATCCCTCCCAATTTGGTGGAAAATTGTAAGGCTATTTATGCCATGCCCTAGTTCAAACACACCAAGTTAGGAAAGGATGGTTGAGCTATCGTGACAAGTAATTTTTGATAAGCACCTGCACGGTTGATCTCATCTCCTTTTGGTTGTTCTTTATTATGGGATAAAACTCTTTTTATCTATTGAAGGTGCTGAAACTTTCACTCTCTTCTCCGTGCTGCTCCACGTCCTGCTTTTGTTTCGTAAACCTCCATTTTCTCTGGGTAAATTTTCAAAAAAATATGTTATGTTAAGGGCCAAAGAGCAGACTTGTAAAACTAAACTAATTGAAGTCCTGTCTGTTTGAACTGATGGGGTTGACATCAGCTTGTCTTCCCTCTCTCTTAACTGGGGTGAAAAAGAAAATGAGAAACCCAAAAAGAAATCTGAAAGTCTTTACATTTTGGGAGATGCTAGACTGGAGAAGGTTTGCTTTCAAAGAGCATCTTACGATTCTTTTGTGATCTTCTCAAGGGCTGCAACCATGTTTGAATGTTTCTGTCATATTTGCAATGATTGTTCACAGGTACGACACATTAGTGGGAACCATTGGGAAGAAATTCTTGAAGAAAAGAGACCGCCACGTTTTGCAAGATCCTACGGAGGTGGAAAGCACTAACAGGAGGCCCAGCAAAGTGAGGAAAGAGTTTTTAAAACCCCAGGATTAATGTCGGAAAATGTGTTTGTGTTCCTACAAGGAACAGAAACTTAGAATGCCATTTATGTTTTGATAAATCGCTGACTCTCCGGGAAGGGACTGGTCCTTTTTTTTTTTTCTTTTTCCCCGATACCTAATGGATGTTATACATCCTCTCTTCCTTTGCGCATGAACTTTTGAGGAGCACAAAAGCAGATGTAAGCAGATGCCGGTAAATAGTAGGGAAATAGTTCCTTTTTAAGAAACAGAATTCCAGAATTGGTTTTATCTGCTTCCTCTTGAGAAATGCGTTCCTAAAGGGCATTCCTTTTTAATTTCTGAAGACGTCTCCAGGTGCCTTAGCATTATTTTTGTTGAGGAAAACAGGGCTCCCCAAAAGAAGAGGGTTAACACAAGGAAAGAAATGCACTTTTTTTTGCTGTAGCCTCTTTTCGGGGTGGGGAAAAAAAATCTTTTTATCGGTTCTTCTAATGTATCGGCCAAACGGGCCCCTGATCACTTAGAAATAAATAATAATTATATTCCATTGCAAGTGGGGTCTTTGGGTTTCTATCCCCAGGGGAAGAAGTTCACTACATGAAATCAAAAGATATATATTTATACCCACAGTATAGGTAGGGTTCGGCTTAGGACCCTGAAATTTAGGAGCTCAAAATTTATGTTGATAAGCAAGACAGTGGTTGAATGAGTTGCATCACATTTTACGACCTTTTCTTGCCACGATTGTGAAGCGAATCGCTGCGGTTGTTAAGCGAATCGTGCCGTTGTTAAGCAAACCTGGCTTCCCCCCGTTGACTTTGCTTGCCAGAAGCCGGCTAAGGAAGGCTAGAAACGGTCATCGCGGGAGCCCGGGAGAGGGCAAGGGACATATGAAGACATGCTGGTTGCCAACGCCTGGATTTTGATCATGTGACCATGGCGATGCTGCAGGGGTTGTAAGTGTGAAAACCGGTCACAAGTCATATTTTTCAGTGTCATTGCAACTTTGAACCATCACTAAACGAATGGTTATAAGTTCTCGGCCATATGTATTGCCTACTAGGAGAGCAGAGAGAAGCTCTGGAAAGGGCTGTGCGATCTTCACCAATGTTGTCTTCCAGATCTGCTGGGATGATAGCTCCCAGCCCCATCCACACTTCCCAGAGTCGCCATCCTCCTCTTCATCTTCCTCCTCCTCTTCCTCTTTCTTCTCCTCCTCTTCCTCCTTCTCCTCCTCCTCTTCCTCCTCCTCCTCCTCTTCCTCCAACACCCCCAGATATTTATGTTTCAATCCTATGAAAATTTTGAAATGAGGATTCCTTTGTTTGAATTTACAAACTGCTCAACCTTCATGATAGATAAATAATCTTTATTGTCATATTTTACTGTGGACACAACGGCACGCATTAAAAAATGAAATTTAGTTGCTTGCTTTCGAAGTGTACACATACATAACACACATTTAGACATACTATCGACAACATAGGTATAGACCTACACCCTTACATGTAAGTAACATGTAAATATTAATCACTGTCCAACTTGAATACATAACGGAAGGAGGATGGACTCTTCCAATGATGCTCTTCTGTTTCATTTATACAAAAGAAGCCTAATATGTCTGCGTGTTGTCCTTGATCTTTATTTTCATTGCAGAAACCGGATTTTAAGATCCGGTTTCCATGGAGGTGGATTCTTAGCTCAACCATGCCCAGTTTTAACAGCCCTTGGAATTTTCTTCCTGCGTTATGACCTTGGTGCACTGTAAGCAGCAGGTGAAGAAGGATGGACATATGATGTGAAAGAAAGCTTAGGAAATTTCAAGCATTATTTTAACAACTTAATATTACACACACACACACACACACTGTTGTTGCTTGATGTGACTTTGTTACAATTAATTCTTACCAAAATATGTATAAACAGAAATTAACCGAGATTGGAAATTAAGTCTGCAAATATTGGCACTTTTAATTAAACTGATATCATTCTTTGCCCCCCCCTCCCCCGTTAAGGATTTAACGGGATTTTCATTCCCTGCTCAGTTTATTAAACATGATCTTTGCAAACTTTGTGCTCCCAGAAAATATGACTTGAAGAACTGAAATAATGAAGACGTTTCCTTCTGCAATAACTACAAAATGTTCCAAAAATACAAAGGAAACAAGAAGACGTGCCTTTCAGTATACATGTCCTGCTACATATTTAGGTCTTTATAATTTTAAGTACGAATCAAGCTTTGCGCAGCTAACGGAGGCTTCCCCATGACTATAGCAGAAAACTGAGGGCTTGTGGCTTGTCAAATGTGGATGAAATATAATTCCTAGTATCTCCTGATGTTGATGATGTTATCCATTCAGTCATGTCCGACTCTTGGTGATTCTAAGAGCCTGGTCTCTCCACATCTTTTGATTTTGCACTACATCTTTGAGTTGTTAAAGATTTGATCAAACTGTCTGAGGAACTTCAGAACCCTAATTCAGATTTTCTGGAGGGCCAACTGTTCCCCAGCACTAATATTCTAGGATTTCATGAAATTCAAAAAGCCATTTCTTCTATGATGAAGTGTTTAAATACTTCTAACTTTTTACCATCCTATATATCTTAGTTTGTTATTTTTATGCTTTCCCCAGTGGTCAATGCCAGCAAACATTAAATAGTCTTGTGCAATTGTCCTGCGCTTAAGAAATATTACCAGTTTCAGCCGATTTTTTTAAATTTTATTACAGCTGTTAAATGAAAGATTAAGCAGAAGGTGGAACCTGTTGCAATTTTATAATGCTGCGTAATGTCACCAGGTACTATACAATCCTTTTACACTAACGGGAACAAGCTTGCCCTCCAAAATTATGCTGAATTTCTTTTTTCCCTAAGAATTTTCTCAGGGAGAAAAGGAAATTTCCTCCAATTTATTATCTTGTGTTATACATTCCAAAGGTATGCGGGTTGGAGAACATTCCCTCTCATCTTGTATCAATTTAAGGTTACAAATATATAATTTCTGATCAGGAAGGCAGATGAGCCAGGACAGTAGCTCTCCATCGTTCAAGAATGTGGTCAATAGAACATTTATATTTTTACTTTTGCTTTTTCATGCTTCTTTCACTCAGGCCTAAAAACATATAAATAGTTCAGAGGCTGGATTGAAAGCTCTCTTGGATACAGAAGTTTCCAGGAAAGTCCTAAGCTTAATGTTAAGGGGAAAAATTGTTTCCTTCCTGCAGCCGTTTCCCCCGCAGACTGCCTTCAACTACATTTTCTCTCTGAACCAAGAGAATTCTCACTGAATTTGTCTGAATCCCTCTGAAAGCCGTCTGAACCAAAGGCTATTGCTGGGTCTCATAAATCATGAATTACAGCCAAGTGGTCCCTTAATGCCGCGGTTCTCAGCTTCATCTCTGGAACTTCTTTGAAACGTCACTCTGAATTCTATAAGCCCAAGAAGCTTTTCACAGTCCCATCATTTTCAATTAGTTTCTTTTAACATTTGCCTTCCAGGAAGCCCATTCAAGACTTTTTTCCCCGCAAGGATGGGCTCAAATAACTCAAGGTAGAAATGCAATTTTTTTCCAGCATCCCATACGAGCTTTACCATTGGAAAATCCCACCGTCCTTAGAGGGAGACCGTTACCTTAGACTTAGAACAGGCTTGTAATAAAAATTGTGGAGGAAAGGCAAGAAGAACAACCAACATTCACCCTATGTGCTGAAAAACTAGGCTACAAAAGTCTTAACTTTGTGGGCTCTTTGGTGCTAGGGATTGTCATCATTATTGGTGTGGGGTTTACTCCCTCTCTACACAGCACTTACCCTGACAGTGTTGATGGGGGAGAGGTTTTCTCCTTGGTAATTCCTTGCTTGAGTGACCAAAACACCTCCTCTCCAGCAGCCAGATAAGCAGAGATTAACACTGGACAAATCACCAAGCAGAAACAATACCCTCATCCAAGAACTGGGAAGAATACAATAGCAACCAACACTGGCAGGGCAAGCTACCCTGTTGTTTTTTTTTTTTTTTAGGAAAGCTAGGGAGTTGGGCAGCATCAGTCTCTCTGAAGGAAGAGTTCAAAGAAGAGCAACAAAGAGAGCAAGGGGTCTGGAGTCTAAACCATATGACGAACATTTGAGGGAGCTAGGTATGTCTAGTCTAAGCAAGAGAAGAACTGGGGTGACATGAAGCTGTCTTCCAATACTTGAGGGGCTGTCACAGACGAGAGAAGGTCAGCTATTCTCCAAAGCACCTGAGGGCAGTACAAGAAATAGTGGATGGAAACTAATCAAGGAGAGAAGCAACCTAGAACTAAGGTGAAAATTGCTGACAGTGAGAACAATTAATCAGTGAAACGGCTTGCATCCAGAAGTTGTGGGTGCTCCAACACTGGAGGTTTTTAAGAAGAGATTGGGCAACCGTTTGTCTGAAATGGGATAGGGCTTTCTGCCTGAGCAGGGGGTTGGACTAGAAGACCTCCACCTCTGCTATTCAATAGTTACTCCTGCTTGAGCAGGGGGTTGGATTAGAAGACCTCACGGTCCCTTCCAATCCTATTATTAAATGTTCTACGTTCTAAGACAAGAAACACAGATCATTCCCAGAGTCCAAAAGAAAATGGGCTTTCACCTGCACCAAGAGGCATTTGAGATACAGGAGGACAAAACTTGGCAGTTACACCACTTTATCCCCCTTTATTAGACTGTGACTTGTGACTTGATCAGTTCAAGTAAATCTTGATTACAGAGACTAACAGAGCGAGGGACTGTAGTTTCACTTCTTGGTTTCTTAGAGCATGTTCTCTGACCCCTTGGAGGTCTCAAGGTGGCTCCTGGCAAGATATAAAGCAATAAACCAATACGCTCTAACTCAGTTAAGATTAGAATTTGCTGGGTAATTGGAAAATGAGAAGCGATTTTCAATTTGCCATTTGAGGCAAAGACTATAGTGAGAATCGTACCTCTTACAGGCATGATTTAGCAGTTTCAATCGCTGCTGTCTTTGAGGAGTGCTGTTCTCAACGTAGCCCAGCAGTGTGCTGTATTCTCAAAGGAACTTTATACCAGATCCTTTGGGACTTAATAGTTTCATAACTGGCATGCAAACCCAGATGCCTTTTTAAAAGAAGTCAGATTTTTTAAAAAACCCAGGCTGAATTCACACACACATGCACACAGAGAGAAAACACTTGTGAAATATTTAATTGGGAGAACCATCAAGACTATTTCGTATTATGTTAGCATGTAGGCAAAGCTGTGCAGGGGATTTACAATCCAATCCATGTGCCTAGGCAGAAGAAACGACGTAAAAAACATATACGATCGAATAAAAGCGCCATCTAAAATTGGCAGCAGCACTGTGATCCTTGGGAAGATAAGAATCAAAATACAACAACAAGCCACTTAAAAAGCCCAGGAAAAATGGTGCTAATACAGGTTCCCAGCAAATCTCTCTAGGGAAGAAATTCCACCGCTGGGATGCCACTACAGAAAAAGTCCACCTTCACCTCTCTTGGAGAACCTCATTAGATGATCTTAAAGTCAGAGTGGTTATATACAGGAGATCCCACGCCTTCGTATAACCTGATCTAACTCCCTATATATCGTAGAGACCAGATGAGGACTGGAAAGGTACTGATTTAAAATCTCACCATGATGCTGAAGATAGAGATAGCTAAGACCCAGTCAAAACTCAAACTATAACCTTGCCAAAGGTTTCTTATCCCTTTTCCTACTTAAAGTAGACTTACATCGCTAACCCTAACCCTGTGGCGAAGCCTAGACCCAGCAAGTTCAACTTGCGTAAAGCGCTTCATTTGCTCTCTAAATTGACCTGAATCTGTCCAAGAAAATACACCATCCTCTTCTCTAAAGTGTTTGTGCAACTTCCCTCTGATCTTTTCATGGCGAGAATTCTCCAAAAGTTGCTTTGCCATTTCATTTCAGTTGCTTTAGGTTGAACTGAGCTGTTGAGCGAATTCAGTTGTGGCCCACCTGAATTAAAACACGGCTACTGAACAGGTGTTAAGAGGGACAAACTTTTTGCCTAGCTGGATCTTGAATCGCTCCTTCAATATCTTCTGCACTTCTTCATCCGTCAGGACAGTGCTTACTACTAGATCCATGTCATCCTTATAATTATACTTGGTTTCAATCAGCACCCACCCAATCAAAACTAGAAATCCGTCAGTAGTCTGGAGGCTACAGATGGACTTCCTTAAAAACATAGAACTTGGGTCTGTTTGGAGTTGTAAACAGACCGGCCGGAAGTCATCTATTGTCCTTGGTTGCAAGGTAAACAAGTAAATGTTCTTACAGCTCACGTTTTTTACAGGATCAGAACAGAGAATTTTGTTCTCGGAATCCATCCCGAATTTCTTGCGCTTCAGTTTGTGAAGGTACCACACTCCCTTCTTCTCCGTGAAGCAGAAGATTCCTGGCGTCTGAGGTTGGTTCTTCTCAGAAATCAGCTCCATGGGTTGCCACATCTGATAAGCAACTCCAAAACCACCATCCACAATGTAGGTTTTACCTTCGAGAACGACTTTGATCAGAAGATGAGTGAAATCTTTTTTGTAGGCTTTTCGCTCCGGGTCGTAAACATGGGCACCTAAAAGACTCACTTTGTAGCCCATAGTCTGGAAGGCCCAAAACAGAAGTTGGTTGTTCTCCATGCACCATCCACCGCGGTTGTGCTTCACAATTTTGTCATAAACCGATTCTAAATCCAACTGAATGGTTTCTCCACAGTGGAGACTGAGGTTTTCAAAGGGCACCGCGCGGATGTGATGTTGAAAAACCTCGGTTAAGGCACCTAAGTCTATTTTTTCCGGGGAACCTTTGTAACAAATCCTTTCAAAATAATCCTTAATATTCATGACGGGTTCTTTTTTTTTTCCTCCCTGCAGAGTGAAACAAATAGTTAAACTAATTGTATAAAAGTATCTCCACCATTGATTTTATTTCACATCACATGAAACCCCTGCAAAGTAAAGTCATATCATTATCCTCTGTATTTGTAATTTGGGACGTCATACAGAGTAAGAGTCATGATTCAGCCTTTTAATGTTTCGCCATTAAATTTAATGATGCAAACCAGTGTTTTTCAAACTTGGCAACTTGAAAATGCTTGAATGTCAACTCCACGGATGTCAATTTCCCAATTGGCTGTGGAATTCTAGGAATTGACACCCACTCATGCCAAAGTTGCCAATTCTGAAAAACATTGATTTGCATCATTCCCACTCCCTGGAGCGAGCTTTGGATTACCAAAATTTGAAGACAATTTCTTAAGCTTTTTAAAAATTAAAAGCATAATGCAGTGGTTAGAATGCAGTGTTGGAAGATAACTCACTGCCCACTGCCAGCAGTTCGATCCTGACCGGCTCAAGGTTGACTCAGCCTTCCATCCTTCCAAGGTTGGTAAAATGAGGAGCCAGATTTTTGGGGACAATATGCTGAATTTGTAAACTGCTTAAAGAGGGCTGTAAAACACTGTGAAGCGGTATATAAGTCTAAGTGCTATTGCTATTGCTAAAGCCATATTTCTCAGTTTGTCTACTTTACCTTGATTTTACGAATGGAAAGAACTTGAAAGACTGGACTGGACTGGACTGGACGGGATTGGACTGAACTGGATCAGAGTGGAGTGGAGAATGGAGTGGAGAGTGGAGTGGGGTGGAGTGGAATAGAATGGAATGGAATAGAATAGAGTAGAATAGAATAGAATAGAATAGAATAGAATAGAATAGAATAGAATAGAATAGAATAGAATAGAAAAATAGGAATAGGATAGGATAGGATAGGATAGGATAGGAGAAATAGAATGGAATGGAATGGAATGGAATAGAATAGAATAATTTATTTGGCCAAGTGTCATTAGACACACGAATTTGTGAGAAAAATCATCCTTTACCTTTAACAGTTAGAGGAAATTGTTCCAAAAACAATTTTGGGATTCTGTATAATCAACAGCTCTTGTTCCGTTCTCTGCACCTGTGTAAGACTTTGGTATGGATGAAACAGTATTATTCCCCCCCCCCGCCATTATTTTGTTTTCATCCCATGCTCCGAACAGTTCAAACAAACAAAGATGCTATGCAAATCACCTTTTTGTGTGCATTTCTCCTATCATACATATTTTAAAGGCATTTAAATAAAGAGCGTTTGGAATATAATATTTGCTATGCCACACATTTCAGCTACCATATACAGTTTGCGCACCCAGGCATATTTTCCTTTCTTTTCGTAGGAACACAGCTCGCTTTTGTTATTTACCTCTTAGCGGAACCTGATAGCAATACAATATTTTGCTGTTCAACTTTGGCTTTGATTCATTTGCCAACTTTCTGCCTCCCTCAATTCCTTCCGATTTTCTTTTGCCCTGAACAGTTGCACCCACCCAAGTACCGGCAGAATTTCAGCTCTTCAAATTTTGGTTTTTTTAGGAAAATCAAGTGGAGCCTGGAAGCCCGAATTTGTTCCTTCCTCATATTAATGAACAAGAAAGTTAGTAAAAAGATCCAGGCAGAACACCCTGTGGAGGTCAATGAACACTCCAGCAGTGCTGAAAAAATTTGTTTCCTGGCAATATTTTACATGTCCTTCAAACATGCCAGGCAAAGCAGTGTATATATATCAAAAGGTAAATTTTACAACTTCATTGCTATGCCTCTTTGGTATCAGAGTCTAGATGATGTTGATTTCTGATCTCCCTTCCATTATCCCCTCCAAAATTGCATGCATTAAGAGGAACGTGCTTTTGTATTTGAAAATACATACATATATATATATATATATATATTTGGACGAAGATACAGAAATGTGATCAACAACCCCATCTTTTGGCCAGAAAAGCAATAAGCAGCCTGGGTTTTTCTCAGCACAGAAAGCATATATCAGTGGTGGCGAACCTATGGCACACGTGCCAGAGGTGGCACTCAGAGCCCTCTCTGTGGGCACACATGCCGTTGCCCCAGCCTCGCCTCCCCCCCACGCCCCCCTCTTCACCAGCAGCCCCCCTGGAGGAGAGTCGCCGCCGAGTGTGGCCCACACAGAGCAGCGCAGCCAAGGACATGGCAGCCAGGCAGCGTAGACAAGACTCTGCCCTCATGCCTCATCCCGCACAGTTGATGCTGCGGGGCGCAGGTAGAGGGCATGGCCGCCATGGCACTGCTGGGCTGCCTGGGCAATCTGCGGCGGGCCCTGAAGGCGGTGAGTGGCCCTGCGGGCAGGTGGTGGATGGGATGGGGCGGAGCAGGGACAGGGCAGGGGCTGGAGCAGGGGCGGGGCCAGTTTTTGGGCACTCAGTCTCTAAAAGGTTCGCCATCACTGGCATATATCAAAGATGAAAGAAGCAAGATTTGGCCAGAGTTGGAAGGGACCTTGGAGGTCTTCTAGTCCAATCCCCTGTAAAAGGAGGAGGCCCTATGCCATTTCAGACAAATGGCTGTCCAATCTCTTCTTAAAAATGTTCAGTGCTGGAGCATTCACAACTTCTGAAGGCAAGTCATTTAACAATTAACTGATTAATTGTTCTGACTGTCAGGAAATTTCTCCTTAGTTCTAGGTTGCTTCTGTCCTTGATTAGTTTCCATCCGTTGCTTCTTGCCCTGCCTTCAGGTGCTTTGGAGAATAGCTTGACTCCCTCTTCTTTGGGGCAACCCCTGAGATATTGGAACATTGCTTATGTCACCCCTCGTCCTTGTTTTCATTAAACTAGACACCCAATTCCCACAACCAGGAAAACCTGCACTTCAAAGAAAAAAAAATATGACATGGTAAATTGAGCAGCTTTCTTTTGGCAAAGGCTCTGAGTAGCACGGGACAGCATCTAGATTAAAAATTGCTATTAAATAGCCTTATTTTCTGGATTTGAATCATCAACTACTAACCAAACATTGCAAGCAATGCAACTCCAGTGACTTGATTTTTAACTAACCCAGTTAATCATATTGTAGGAACACAGTTTGAGAGTATCTTTTCAACTTTCTCTTCTATCATGGGAGAGAAAACATTGAATAGCACGTAAACAATAGAGAATTCTTGGAAGTCTGGCATTTAAACAAATCAGCCATTCTCAGGCACAAAGAGATAAACAACCTTTACATACCATTCATAAGAGACTATGAAAAACCCCAAAAGGAAGCAAAAAAATCAAAACACCTTTTCACCAGCAATCCGCATCTAAACGAACAGAGATTAACACCAGGATAAATACCTAATTAACAATCAAGCAGTAAACAATGCCCCAATCAAGAAATTACTAATACAGACAATCAAAAGTAAATAACAGACTAATCAAGGAACTACCAAGAAGAAAACCACAGTCCCACCAACACTGTCACAGCAAACCACTTGTACATAAACAGAGAGCAAACCCCACTCCCTTCTAGCACTGATGATGTTCCCTAGTTGGGTCATGAAACGTCTGCAAGAAAACAACCAAGCTCAGAGAGCATCAATGACCCCATAAGAAACCAAGAAACCAACACTTCCCTCAATACCAACAAGGCATGCCATTTGTATATAAACCAAAAGCAAACCCCACTCCCTTCTAGCACTGATGGCGTTCCCTAGTTGGGTCGTGAAACGTCTGCAAGCAAACAGCCGAGCTCAGAGAGCATCAAGGATTCCACAGTTCTAATATTCTTTCTTTATTGATACTTGCAATCTTACAATATATTGCGCGTTGTACGAAGAACCTATGGAAGATGCTGGTGGAATGTATTTCAGGGTAAGATGTACAGTATATCTGGCCTTAGCCAGGAAATCCCAATAGATCGATAAGTGTTAGACGTTACTGCCAGATGGACTTGAACAGCATTTTCTCTTGCACTAGCTGACGACATGGAGGAAAGCTTGCATCCAATGGGGAAAAAAGCAAAGCTTTAACTCTAAGATGTGACTTGGGCTGCTTTTTTTTGCCGGTTTTGACTTCTTGCTCCTCTAGATCAGCGGTTCCCGAGACGAGAAGAGAACATTCATGACCAGCAGATGTCACCATAATGTCACTTGTTATCTTTCGGCAGCTTTGAAATTGATGTTTTGCTTTCATTCTGGAAGGAATTCCTTTGACTGGGCAGTTTCTGGGTACCACGAATGGTTTAATGGAAGCTAATGCAGGGGACCCCCTTTTCAGTTTTCCTTTGATTCAGAGGTGAAGGGCTGCACCTTCTCTTCCAGATGGAAACCGCTACAGGCAGATGCACGATGGCGGTGGGGTGTTAAAATGTACATTTTGCAGACCTGGAAAAAAAAACACCCTAGGTTTCTACAGCCACCTTTAACAGATGGATTGGTAGTTACTTTCCTCCTTAGCAATTTCTAGCTGTTGGTGGTATTTGACTGAGGTCTTTAAGTTACACAACCTTCAAAGTGTCTGAATTTATGTGTCTGAATTCTGATCATATATGACGTAGGGATGTTGCGATGGTCACACATGTGAAAAATGGCTGTAAGTCACTTTTTTTCAGTGACGTTGTAACTTCAAGTGAACTGTTGTAAATCAAACACTACCTGTAATTGTAGAAAATATGGCTCCTCAATTTGTGAAATCTAATCTTTCTGACTCCCCACCCCACCCCCAAGATTTTATGGGGTCATTACATGTGTGAGTGACATATCTGTAGGCTGCAGCTCACCCCATCTCCTCTTGGTACCAAATGCAGCCGACAGGAATCAAAATCCACGCTGCCATTTCCCTTTCGCTGCATTGAACTCAGTGAGATATTTGGGTGTAGCAAAGAGGTGGACAGAATCATTAACTCTAGTTTTTGCACAGAAATGATAGCCAAATAATATGTTTTGTGCAAGGAAGGTAATACAGGCCTTAATGGGGTTGAACAAATCTTGTAAGTAAACACCGTAATAATCTGTG